TATATTATATTTATATTGTACAAATATAAATAGTATAACTAGACATAGTGCAGTGTTAAGTATTCCAAACATCCAACCATTTCTACGTAAGTCCTCAACTTACCGTTGTTGTGTATGTCATATCAGAACAGCCTGTCCCTTGCGAATTAACCGGCGACGCAGAGGTGCTTTTGAGCTAAAGCTTTATGTTGATCGCAAAGTTGTGCCTGTATTATTAGCGGCAACTACATTCATGATTGAGACTCGCTGTACTGTAATATTTCCTTTGTCTCCTGAAAATAGAATATTTCTTTCGTATACAACCTTACAGACTCAGCACTAATGCGGTATGTAATGCCCTGCTGGAAAAAACCACTTTTTCCCCCTGTTGTTTTCGCGGTCTAGTTCGTTTTTGTATCCCTCTTATTTTTCAGTTAAATGGAGGTTTTAGGCCCACATAGATGCCTTGTTGGAAATGGTTATTGTAAGCTTCTAAATACTGCTGAATTCCTGTATTTACTTTCCAATTGTCCTTGTCATGGTAAATAGGTGTTGACTGTTGTGAGCTCCTGAATACTACTGTATTCTCTCTCTACTCTCTAGGATCCATTTCTACAGTCATCACTCATCACACATCACCCTTCATCTCGAACTTATTTATACGACGGCAAACATCTTTCGCTATATGCAACCACAATACCTGAAAATCAAGAGAACATATACAATTCCACATAAAGACAGCCAGTCAGCTGTCAGCCAGATTCTGTACTGCAACTTATATAACCTCTTCAGTCTTCAACCCATGAGTCATAGATTTCTTTCTCAGTTGTATAAAAAAAGTTGAAGTCGAACTGCGAACAATGTCGGGGTATTACATTTTTTTTTACATTGTTTATGATTGTTAAAAAAACCCCCCTTTTTAAAAGCATACATATTTTTACATAGCCTTCTAAAATAAATGTATTTTTTTATTGTCGTTATGTCTTTCATAGCCTTCTAAAAAAATCACAGAAGGTTACAACGCTTTGCTATGTATTGTACTGGTCCATACGTGTCTTTTTATATATTTCGTTGTTCTATTAGGCCATGTTTTTTTAACTATAATCTCTTGTATTGGATATTTTTTTTAATTCACGCATTTTTGATTGGCTATTGGTAATTTTGTGAATCTAAAGTATTCGTTGTGTGGGAAACAAAAGCAACAACTGTGGCCAAATGATCAAAACAAAAAAATAGAACACATGATGTGAATTACTGAATTGTAAAATAAAAATTTAGGAAATTCCAGCAGTGATTCCAGTTTCCAGTTTCCACACGTGTGATTTTTTTTGCACAGGTACTTATTTATTGGGAAATTCCCTGGTAACACCGAAACTGGTGGTAGCCTGGCAGGAACTGAGCCTGAGGCCTGAGCGGCTGAGAGTCTGAGGCCCGAGTTTCTCGCTGAGATTATAAATAGTACCAGAGGCTATTTAACAGTCTATAACAGGTTAAAAATTTGACCGGGATGCCGTTAAATCTACAAGTGGTCATCAACCATCAGGAATTCTGGGGTTCCCCTGCGGGCTGAGTCAGCTTGAGTGTCCCCAGCAGACTTCTAGAGTAAAATCCAACTCTGAGTAAACAATAGTATAGTGATTGTTTTTTTTAAATCTCCACCGTTATTCGTGGTTTTTAAAAGAAAAGAAAGCAACAACAACTGCTATGAGTTCCAGCTCTAAAAGACGGACACCCAGCTACCCAGGGCCTCAGAGGCTCAGACAGCTCAGCAGCTGTTGTGTACTTTTCATTGAAAAAAAATACAAATGTTTTCTTTTACAGTATTTTTAACTATTTATAAATAAATAGTCTAAAATAATCTTTTGCGATAAAGATGAAGAAGAAGAGTACAAAAGTGAAAAGGGCTTTGGCGGCCTCTCGAGGATATTCTTTTAAAATAAAATATACATAAATAAGTGTCTTCCAACTTCCAAGAGAGTTCAACCTCCAAAGTCCAAAGTCCAAAGTCCAAGCTCCAACTTTCCAAGTTTTGTTCTTTTTTTGTTGTAGAAATTGTTTGTGTATTAAAAAAAAGCACTCGTTAAAAAAAGTTCTTTCATTTTTTTTTCATGTGTCTAAAAACTGTATTTAAAAAAAAATATACAGGGGAATACCACATCGACTTTTGTGAATAGTGACGTACAGACGTAGTGTACCTAAATTTAGAACTCCGAGTCTGAGGCCTAAGGACACGGACATATTTCCCCGAAATATGAAAAGCTACTTTCTCTGTTGTTGAATTGAGTATCTTTATAACACTTGAGGTCTAAAATCCTGTAGAGACAAGATGTATTAGTGTGCCTTTCGTTGCAAGTTTGCAACTCTCTAGCTGATCTCGTGGGCAACTCCGCGTGGTATATAAAGACGGCCGCCATGCTGATGAGGAATAAACAAACACACTATACGACTATACGACACAAAGAAACATAAACATAAACAACACTAAGTATTGAACAGGATGAAATTCACATACACAGCATTGGCAGTCTCGGCCTTGGCGGCATCGAGCATAGTCGAAGCAGCCAACCTTACTGAGGCAGACGAGGTAGCTTCGCTATTTGATGCAACACAGATAATATCGTACAACTTAGTGATGACGGAAGACAGTATTGCCTTCCTTAATGCCGATCCAACACAAGAAGTGTACGTTCCCTGTAACGTGACACTCAATTATGTTGATCCCCTCACAGAGTCCAACGTCGATACCGTAGAGCCATTGACGCTCATAGGTGCTGGGTGCCGGTACAAAGGAAGTTCTGGTAGTTACAAGGGCTGTGTGAGTACAGAAAACGGATCTTATGGCGCTATAATAGAGAATTCAACTTCCTGTCGTACTTTGAGTTGGAAAGTCGACTCGAACGAATTCGCGGACGACTACGACCAGGAGAGCAAGCAGCGGTTCTACGGGCTGAAGAAACTTGTATTCAATGGTATTCAAGACGACGATTCAATGATTGGTGAGCGATTGGCCTACACAGTCCTAGGAGAACGACTTACCAATAGCCCTAGGGTAGCCGTAGCGCGCGTGTTTGTCAACGATGAGTATTACGGCGTCTACGATTTTATAGAGGAAGTTGATGACATATTCGTTGACTCGCATTACACGGAGGAGAACGTTTCTCTGGGTGCTATGTGGAAAGAGGTATGGTACCCGTGCGCCGGGCACCCTAATCCAACCTACGATTTGAACATAAATGATTTCGAACCCAAGGAGTATGGCGACGATGATTTCACAGGCCTTGATAAGCTCTCTGAAGTGGCACAGCTTTCCATTGAGTGCTTGGCTGGTGATAACTGTGACGAGACAGCCGCCCAGGCCATTCTGGATGGTCGAGTGGATTCCACCTCATTCCTAAACACCATGGTGGTCAACTACTTGTTGCTGAACTGGGATAGTGCTCATAGATTATTTGCCGATAGCACAGACAATTCGTATTACAATCACAACTATTATCTATACGTTCCCCAAAATGGGACCATCGAGTACATCCCCTGGGATTATTCCGAGGCTCTTATCCAGGCCAGCTGTGGCTTTGATGACGCATACTCGTCAACAGAAGATGGTTTTGGACAGGGAGGAGGTGATGGTGGACAGGGTGGCCGCCCAACTGCAGAGGGTACTGACAACAGTACACAGGCAGGAAATGTAATGACTACAGAGGAGATGGCTGCTATGGACACCGACATGATGGTCACACCACCTGAAGAAGGTGTGGATGCCACTGCATTTGCCGCTGGAGGATCCCCAACTGGAGGACAAAGGGGACAAAGAGGCCAAGGAGGCGATACCACCACCACATGCCCTGAAACACCTCATTGGTTCGATACTACCTTTGACCAATCCTTGTGCAATGTCACCGGTTCTGGTGGGCGCGACTCGACTATGCCCTTCGCTTGCGATCCGGTTGGTCATATTATGGCCCTAGCATGGAAGACCCAATTCTTGGAGCTTATGGCCGTCGCGCAAAGTCAGGATAACTTCCTCGGGGGAATTAATGACCACGCCAAGGTATTTGCGGTTCAAGTGGCTTATGACGTAGAGCGCTATGCGAACCAGGGAGGCATTCCCAGTTATTCTGATTTCCAGTGGGGAGTTGTGAACTCTTTGCAGAAGGCCGGAACCGAAAGCATGTACTGGTTCACGTACGCAAACAATGCTACCTCTTTTGCGTAAGAAGTGAATCAATTTCATATACTTTCAACCGAACTCGTTTTTAACAGGATATGAATGTAATCGATAATAAAAACCGAAAAAATCATGCAATATGAGATTTGAGTTTGTACTGATATGTTTTGCCGTATGGCGCAGATTGTGGCTAACCTTACACAAGAAGAAATTATTCCCGATCACATACATACACACACACTCTCTCACACACACACACACACACGTGCACGTGTACACACACACACACTCACACACACACACACACACACACACACATATATATATATATAGACACACATACACACATAC